ATGAAGATTATGAAATCCTACTTTCATGCTACATTTTTTTTTTTCATGATGTAAACACAAAGTACAGTGTGTTTCAGATGGTTGAGAGAATGGACAATGAATTTGTTTGGATGTTTTTTATTTTAAATCAATCTTAGATCCTCCCTCACTCTTTGTTGCTTTTATAGAATCATTAACAAAATTCAAAATCTGCCATTTATTAGCCATCAGTTCTAGAAAAGGGAAAACCACATAACCATTTTCAATTTCCTATATTATCTTAGTACAAGTCACAGATACAGGCTAGTATCTTTTTTTCTGAATCAAGTAGTTATTTTAATGTAATGTGTACTTTAAAAATATTGTCATCTTCAAGTGGAAATAAAAATAATGAAATTTGTACATGTTAGATCCCATGTATGTGTTTAGGAAGTTGGGCCCTTGCATTATTTTTTGTTTGATTTTTCTTGCCATCACCCAGGCTGGTCTGCACTCTCCTGCCTCCCTTTCCCAAGGATAGGCAGGACTAACTGCAGGCACCACCACCCCTAGCTGAAGAAGAACCTTTTTATTTTGAAATAATTTAAAACTCAATATGCATGTGTAAGAAATAACAAATCCCAGTCTTGCTAATGATAACATCTTACAGAACTATAACATCACAACTGGAATTAGACATTGGTAAAATCCATGGGCTGTTCAGACTTGCTCATGTCACAGGGATGTAATGGATGTGTGTATTTAGTTCTGTGTAATTTAGTTTCCAGGACACTGCCACATCATGACACAGCAGTTGGGTCCACAGCTTCTCCTGCCCTACTTCCATAGATACAGGTCTCTCTCACTCCTGCCCAAGGCTGGCCTGCTCTCCACTTCCAACCCTGTCAGTTTAAGAGTGCTGTAAATGAATTCACATAGTGTAGACTCTTTGGGGTGGCTTCCATTACTCAGGAAATTCCCCTGAGCTGTATTGAGTGCCTTTAAAAGTGACTTGCTAAGAGATCATCTAGGGCCTTTTCCACTCCCCATTCTGCCACGGCCATTTATTTAAGAATGGTGGCAGGGTAGGACACATGGGACCTGAAGACATACAGCACAGAGGCAGCTGTTTCTGCTGATTTTTGATCCCCAAGGGAAACTGGGGGACATAGGCCAGGCCTCACTGCTTGTTCCCCCCTCGGGTTTTTAATCAGGAAGTGTGAATTCCTTTTCTGCTCGGCATGCTGGTCTCTTGGTAGACAAGAGTCATGCTTCCTCTTAGAGGGGTCGTCCACATCCATAATTTCCAATGGTCTTTGCTCTAGTCAGTCTTCCATTCTTTAACTCTCCTTATTTTTCTATCCTGCTCAATTTAAGCAAATTATGTGAATAAGTTCTAAATGAGGTGCCTTGTAATCTGTATCTCTGAGAGAGGGCTGGTGGTTTGAAAGCCTGGGGCTCTTGTTCCATTGGCTTTGCAGTCAGTGAGTGTGGACCATGAATAGTCACCAGTGGTCACATTCATCTTTCCTTGCTTTGCCTCAGTAGTTAGTTATTTATAGTGTGGTTGGTCTGGGGGCTCTGAATGCCACCTCTTGGGAATGCTAGTCCATTCATACCAAGTCATTTTGTCCTGAGAGAGGTGTCTTTACCCCATTGCTGTGTGGATGAAGACCCTGTTACCTTCCTGGGTGGTGATTTATGGGTAGATTCTTACTACAGTACAGGAATTTTTTAACTGCTGGCCAGCCTATGTGGCTTTGCCTATCTGAGTGGTTGGAATTCAGTATTTTCCTCCGTTGGTATTAACGAACCCCAGACTGTCTGGCAGTGCCAAGGCAGGTTACACTTCTCATGTAGGACCAAGTTGGCCCCATTAATTACTCACTTTGTCTTCATTTAGAAGCTAAGTCAAATATGTGTATGGTAGCATAGAAGTGGCTTCACTCAGCGACAGCATGGAGACTGGGGCATGTTGAGCTTTGAGACTACCCATGCACCACAGCACCACCCAGAAGTCATTATTCTCCCCTGTGCTACCTGCTGTACGCACAGTTCAGTGTACAGTCAGTAACTCTGAGATGTGGCTTCATGCCTTCTCTATGACCTTTCCACTTTGCATCTCCATGTGGATTCTAGATGCCCAGCATGTGCCAGGCACTGCAGGTGCTTCGGGCGGTGAGTTACTTTATTTTTTTACCTCTAGTTTCCTTGAAGGACCCTCCATCAGTTTCAGCTACTTTTAACTGTAAGACCAATACATTCCTGGCCTTGGAGTGGTCATAAGCTTGTGCTTCTCTATCCGGAGGATTTAGAAGATTGAAAAACCATCCTTCTGTAGTCAGGAGCCTCCTTCAGACTCCTCCAGTTTTAGGTAATTTTCTGGAGCGAGGCAGGGTACCAAGGATATGGTGATTGCCTAGATGGTTAAGGAGGGCTTAGAAGGGCTGTGTAACAGAAAATGTGTGTCCACCCGTAAATGTCAAAGAACAGTAATTCTTCTTAGATGGTACCAAACACATGTACCATGTACCAAGGGTAGAAGTTTCTAGTATTGTGAATAGATAATAGACAATTGATTTTTTTTTTTTTTTTGAACTGTGAAAAAGTGTATTACCAGCTTATTGGTTAATGATGGTGCTAGTTTTAAATGGGAAATGCTAAGAACATAGTGTATATTTATGGCGTAGGGTGTGTGCATGTGTGCAGTTCCTTTAGCCAGAATGTTTAATTTAGGATCAGTGAAGAATCTTCAGAGAACACCAGTAGTTAGTATCTTGTAACTTGGTGTTAAAATGTTACATTTCTATATTCATATAAGAATAGCTCTTTAAAAAAAAAAAGTTCTGAAGAACAGTTTGAGTTCCCAGTAAAATTAAAGAGGAAGACACAGATTTCCCGTGTGTACCCTCTCACATTTTAACGCGCCCCCCCCCCCAAGTGGGGGAGACGCAGTGACAACTTTTTAGTTTTCCAGTCTCAAGAAGAATGTCTTCATAGGAAAATGCTGGGGTTTGAACTAACAGTTTAAGTCTTATAGATGGCTGCCTGAGCTTGCTCTTGTGAGATAGTTTCTGCATAGCACAGATTGAGAGGACCCTTGTTTGGATGGACGGGGCCAGAGGTGTTTCAGACTTTGAAACATTCCTCAGATTTGACTTATTGAACATCCCTAAGCTGAGAATCCACAATCTGAAATGCCTTCAGAAAGGCTTAGGTTTAGGAAAGAGGATGGCTGTTCAGCATGACCTTCTTCACAATAATGTGGATTTCTCTTACTGTAGGAAGGTTTTTTAGTGTAATTTCATTTTAAAAGTAGCTCTAAATACTTACTGATATAGTAAGCTTTTCACCTGCAATAGAGTTCTTTTTTTCTCTTCTGTTGAGTTATTCATACAGTTAGAGTACAAGTTCTAATTCAGAGCCCAAATCCATTTTGTCTGATAAGAATCCAATTGATTTTGCATTGTTGTTGAGTTTCCATTCTCAAGAGTAGATATTCTGCAATTTCCAGCATATTTTCTGTGTGGTGCTGTTGCCATGGCTGATTAATAAGGAAAACCAGCGCAGTGCAGTATTGTGGTATGCTGATGTGTTTATATTGACTGTGGGGTCTAGAGGTTTTCTGATTGCTTTAATTTTTTAAAAGTACCTAGTAGTAACTGAAGAGGAGAGGTAGCCTGGGCCATGTCTCAGTTTGCCCTGATACAGTGATAGTCACTGATCATATGGAAAGAAGCTAGGCTAGATTGTCTAATGCTGAGCTTGGGACCAGACCCAATTTAAAAAAAAAAAAAAAGAAGAGAGAGAGAGAGAGAGAGAGTGCGTGTGTGTGAGAGAGAGAGAGAGAGAGAGATCATTGGTTCAGAAAAAGGCATCAGAACTACTGGAGCTAGAGATAGTCAATTTTGAGTCATCTTTCGTGGGTATCAGGATGCTAACCTGGGTCCTCTGCAAGAGTGGTAGGTGCTGTAACTGCTTAGCCATCCAATAAAGTCTTTAAAACAGAGACCTGAAGATGTAGGAAACCATATGTATATCTCTGTCTTACAGGGAAATGAGTAGATACAGTGAATTTAGCAACAGCAATAAAAAAGTTAATTATGGAAGATAAAATTTAGAAGTGAACATTTTGGAATATTTGCTTAGTTGGAATACATATTGACTCACAACACAAAATCGTTGGATTCTTGTTTGGTTTTGTGTGTGTGTGTGTGTGTGTGTGTGTGTGTGTGTGTGTGTGTGTGTGTGTGTGTGTTTAGCAATAGGCTGTAGGACTGACATTTTTATTAAGTTTTTAATTAAAGCAAATTCTATAATAGCAGTCGTAGTCTATAGTTTAGTTGCCAACATTGTCATATATTCAGAAACATAATGACTTTGGTTCTCTGTGTGTGTACATGTGCCTGTGTGCATGTCAAGGCCAAAGGTCAGTGTCAAGTGTCTTCCTCTATCATATCCCACCTTTTTTTTTTTTTTTTTTGGCGACAGTCTCTCATTATTGAGTCTGACTCACCAGCAGCCCAGGATCTGAATCTAGAACTTACACTTTTGCAGCAAGCACTTTTATCAACCAAACTAACTCCCCAGGCCCTGTGATTTTGATTCTTTTACTCACAAGTGTGTGTGTGTGTGTGTGTGTGTGTGTGTGTGTGTGTGTGTGTGATTTATTATAAATAACAGGGAGTAAAAATTACATGCCAGTTCCCATTATAAAAACTGCTTTGAAAGAATTTAAGCAATATGAAATGAACGTAGTATGGGCGTTCCAATAGGGAGAGTAAGGAGACCAGCAAGTTTCAGGGAAAGACGGGGCAGGACTGGGGCATTTCAGGAGGAGGCTGAATAAGAAAAGAATATAATGACATATGCATGCAGAATGCCATAACGAACTCTTACTCTTATGACTTAAATAATAATTAAAATTTTAAATGAAAGACACCAAATGGCACTGGTACTCAGAATGTGGTATAAGTGGAAACCTGTACAAATCATCTTGTCAAGTTGAGATGTGTATTCAGAGCATCGCTGTCTACTTTCAGATTAATTTGCGCCTCATCTTGGTGAGTGGAAAGACGAAGGAGTTCCTCTTCTCCCCAAACGACTCTGCCTCCGACATTGCAAAGCATGTATATGACAACTGGCCCATGGGTGAGTGTTTGGCTTGTTGTGCCCGACTTGCTTCACACATTGTGAGGAAGTACTGAGGGCATAAGATACCTGACAAGGGTCACTGCTCTCGGTTTCTTCTTTCTCACCACAGAGCAGCGAAGGAGCAAGGGATGTAGTGGCCATGTTTGCCTTAGTGCTAGTAGAGTATGTCCAGTGCATGTCCACTTCCAAGTGAATGAACCTTCATACCAAAACACAGAAGGAAAGTGTCTCTTTACCGTGGCCACATGCCCCGTGGGCTCTCTGTATGGGACCTATTGAAAATGAAGCTTGAAACAGACTTGACCTGCAGTCCACGTTGCATGAGTTCTGTGAACAAGTCCAGAAAGAGTGAAGTCTTCTCTGCATTCCACTTTCAGCTGTGCCACAGTGAATGCTTTGGGGGGAGTGTATGTGGTTGCTCCTCCCTATATAGTGAGACTCTGCCTTGCCTTGAATAAGCCCTTAGTTTTCCCTTTGAACTTCTAGGGTTTGCCCATAATGGTTTCCATGGCAGGTGCCTCTGTAACACTGTTTTAGCCCATCTCATTTAATTTTTTCCAGTACAAAAGTTTGAACTCAGGGTCTTGTGCATGCTAGTCAAGCACTCATTCTATTACTAAGCTGTAGCCCTTGCTCCCTTTTAGAAAGTCTTGCTAAGTTACCCAGGCTGCCATCAAATTTGGAATCCTCCTGCCTTAACCTCTCCAGTACCTGGGATTACAAGCATGTACCAACATGCTGAGTATGTTTAGCAAAATCAATTCTAATCTCTTTTCTGTATGAATTAAAGTTACTGTCACTTGTCTCTGTAGCAAAGGAGTGCATGGCCATAGTCTATAAACAATGGTTTTTAAAGGCAGTGTATGCAAAGTAATTCATACTTAAGGGGAGTGGCTCACCTGATATTATCTAGAAGAGACAGTGCAGTCAGAATTCCCAGGAGAAGAGTGGGACCTGGGAAGGGACAGGCATGGCACAGGTGCCTGAAAATGAGCATGAATTATTCTCTTATGCTTGAGTTCCTGAGACAAGGAGATACTGTGAAGTGCATGCACATACATTGTTTTGAACACTCAACAAAACCATAGTGGAGACTTGCCTCCCTTCTTTTCTATCACTCACCCTCAGTATTCTAGACTATTTCTTTGCTGTCCACTATCTCCTACTGAAAGCAAAACCTAGGATTTTTGAGAAAGGTGCACAAGACTTCTCAGAATTCAGCAGCAGTGAGCAGCCAGTAAACATATCCTGCTTGAACAGCAATCTCTCTGAGCTAAGGGTTCACATAGTGTGCTGTAGCAGCTGCTGGGCATCACAGCTTTCTGTCATGTTTGTCAGCTGTTCTTTCCCTGTCACCTTAGCCTCAGAAAGACATGGACATAACGTATTGAGCTCTAAGAAAGTCTTTGAGGAACTTGTTACTGCCCTTGAGCATGCATTGCAACCAGTCCAAGCACTGGAATATTATAATACACTTAATTAATGACTAATTCAAATGATAGATCCCTTTACTAAGAGTAGCTATCCCAGCCCACTGTTTAACTTCAGCCTGCAAGTTGGCGCTCTTTGCTCTTTGCTCTTTGCTGCAAAAGGAAGGGGGGGAAGGAGCAAGGGCTGCAGGGCCTGTGTGGTGGAGGCTCTGGGCCATGCCTTCCCCGGTGGCCTCTGGAGTGTGACAGTGCACAGCCCCTCTGTGTTGCAGGCCCCTAACCAGTTCTGTTTCTTTCAGACTGGGAAGAAGAACAAGTGAGCAGCCCAAACATCCTGCGACTCATTTATCAAGGCAGATTTCTACATGGAAACGTCACGTTAGGAGGTAATTGACATCCTCTCCTGCCACCTGGATCTGTCATTCTCTGGGGATTCTGTGGTTCAGTCAGTTTCAGGTCTCTTTAAACACTGCAGAGTCCCCTTTGTGAGTTGTATCCTTGTTAATCGCATGGAATCTCACTCCCCTAAAGGAGAGCACAGTGAAAGCTCCACTGGATAGGATGATGGTCAGCTGACACTGACAGTCAGTGGGGTCCAGAGAAAGTGAGGCATCAGCCAAGGTGCTCACCTTTTGTGTGGTTACGAGTGCACCCCGGGACCTAATGCATGTTGTGCATGTCCTTTGCCTCCAGCTCCAGCCTGTTACTAACCTAAAATGAGGTTTCCAGACTTACCATTTCCCACCAGTGCCACTTCTGGGCTGAAAAGTGGGTTTTTGTGTGTACAGGAAAAGTTGAAATCCTGTCTTCTGGATGTTGCCCAGTATGTAGAAATGTCTTCTGTGAAGGAAGGCATTCCAATTTTGGCTTCTCCTTCACCTTCTGCTGCCAGCAGCCATGCCTGCTGTTTGCCGTTGAGTCAGATGCAGAAGAGAAGTGCCAGCCCCACCTACTAGATGGCAACTTCTACTGCCGCTGCCCAACACTCTGGAGTGTGCGTGCTGCTGTGAATTAATGATAATACCACTGACAACTAGTAGTCAGTAGATCTGCATAGAGCATGACTTGAAAAGCAGGGGTACTGACTAGTGCAGTCGTTTTATACGACTCTGTGCTTTCTGTCAGGTAAGACAGATTGATGAGTCTTGCCAATGGCAAAGCTAGAAAAGTCACTTGTGACTGTACACTTCCCTCTGGTGATTGAGTGTCTCCTTGTGGAGGAGCCACAGCCAGAAGCCATTCAGGAGTCCTTAAGTGCTTTCTTTCAGCCCTGGCTCGTGATCTTACAGAATGATATATATGTAACAGATTGTCTCTTCTTTACATAGCATTAAAACTTCCTTTTGGCAAAACAACAGTGATGCATTTGGTGGCCAGAGAGACCCTGCCAGAGCCCAACTCACAAGGTAAGCCTCCCTTGGAAGGCGCCTCATTTGAACCATCAAGACATGCATGTTTCCACTTTGACTTTTTGCTGAAGAGAAAATTTCCATAGTATATGAATTGAGAGTATGGAACAAGTCACCAGGTAGTTTTTGAAACCTGCCAAGATGAAAAGATTCCTTATTTACAGGCTTGTAATTTTTTTTTTAAAGCAAGCTTTGAACAAAACTCAGGCTGTTTTGACTATGCCTCTGCATTTTGCCTCTCCACCAAGACCCGCCTTGGCTAAACCAGGCTGGCTTTGTTTTTCCAGGTCAGAGGAATCGGGAGAAGACTGGTGAGAGCAACTGCTGCGTGATCCTGTGACGTGTCGCCAGCATGTGCTGCAGTCTGTTGATGCTGCTGGGGCAGAGGAGGTTCAACAGCGTCCCACACCTGTAGGACAGTCACCTGCACATCATGGGGCTGAATTACTCGGGAACTCTGTCATCTGTTCTTATAAAGTAAAAAGAACCAAGAACACTCTCATCTGGTCCTTTATTCCTGTCTCTCTTGTCTGTGTTGAACAGTCTGAAATGCACAGTGGTCTCCAGGGGAAGTCACCTTGCTGCCACCAAGACTCATCCGCAGAAGTCAGAAATCAAGTGTTGCAAGTACAGTTTGCACTAAAAAAAAAAAAAAAAAAAGATTATCATTATTTTCCTCATCAGCAGAATCTGCCAGCACCTGTGGTGCCCAGAAGTACTCCTGTGACAGTCCGCACTGGAGGACACTGAAGTTAATCACCAGGCCAGTTACACAGGGAAAACGGGAAGGGATCTAAGATGCTGGGTGCATTCTACCAAAGTCAGCTACCGTGGCTGCCCTCACAGGATATCAAACTTGGCGTGACTGTCCCCAGGGCAGCAAAGGAAAAGCCATGCCTGCTGCTCATAGCACTCTGCACAGGGGGCCTCTGCCCTGAGTCCTCTTAGAGCCAGGGGGCTCATCCAGACAGCACAGAGGGTGGGTGGGCAGCAGTGCGTCCCTAGCCTTAATGTGGAGGACCAGTTGCTGGGGGGCTGTCACTGCAGAAACAGTAGGAAGCCTTGGCAGCAGATCGGGTCGCATATTTGAATATCAGAAAATTGGAAACTTCTGCCACTGTCACTCATCCATAACCATGCCCTGCATTATGCTTACTCACTAGGACAGAGGAACCCTTTTAAAAAGTCTCCAGATACTAATTTTGTTACTTTATGTAGTTTGCATTTGGAATCAGTGCTTGCAATTGTATTAAAATCACAAGCTGATTTTTAAGGCATACCTGATTAGTAGCGTCACTCTTATTTTTACCAATAATTTAAAGATTGATATGCTATAAATAAACAATTTGCACAGCACTAAAGCATGAGCTAATTTCATCTAAACCTGTAAAAAAAAAGATTTTATATTTTTTTTCACTGGGAAGAAATCTTCCTGGATGAAATTACAAATATGTGTAGATTATATTTAATAAAAAGACATAAAATATCTAACTGTAGAACGCAAATATAGATTGGCGTGTAGCATATAGACCAGTATTCCATATCAATACCTTTATCCAGCCTTTCTAAAGATGAAGTTGCAGACTGCGTTGTGTTCCGTGTTTAATGAGGGGGTCTTGGCTCTCAGTAACATTAAATGTCAATGGTCTCGATGGTCATCTTTGTTTAAATGCAATCAGGTTACTTTATTCATTGTTAAAATGCGTTGATGAAGAGGCTTTATATGCAGTAGATCTACGAAAATATTGTTCATACTGATCAGAATTAAATTTGTATAGAGCAGAGTTTTAAAATGAATGTAAATAGCACTAAACCTTTTCTTTCTGCAACCTGTACTTAATAGATTCCTTCAGTAAACTAAATAAAAAAAATTGTAGTGCATCTTGGTGATTTTAAGTCAGTAATTGTTTTAAGCATTGGTTCATCCGTTGTACAATTCATTTTCTACTCTTCTGGGTCTTTTAAAATTCTTCACTTACCACTCTTTGCTACTTGAGAGTGCCCCAGCGTCTTCACCACTTACCTGGTCAGTGTGTGAGGCCCAGCAGCTGGGGCTCTCTCTGTCTTGGTCATCACTAAAGTGCTAAATTCAGAAGATGTTACATATCCATCTGCTCTGTATGTGTTGACTAGAGAGGAATCCAGCAGGTAGTGAACTGGGTACTTAGTCATAACGACTCCAGTCTTTTGTAAATCAGACTACTAGGCAATCATTTTTAACCCTTTGATTCTACTTACTCTCTGTCCTCCCAGAGATAAGGCTTTCAGTTAATTGTGCTTGCATTATGGACAGTTACAAATACTCTCTATTGGCCTTCTGTATGTTTTATGTGTATCCCTACACTAGACATATCTTTTTCATGAGTCTTCCATTTGGAGTTTGCTACATGGAAGAAGCTGACTCATTATCTCACTCAAAACCTAATATCTTAGTTGTAACAAATTAAAAAGAAGTAAAATTCTATACTGAAACATGAGAGAATTTACAGATGTGTACATGAAAAGGCTGGACTTCTTTCAAAGAAAATCTGGTGGACTGTGATGGCTGAAGTGGGATTGATCATACTCAAGGCTGAAATTGGAGGTCTTTGCCTAACATAGCCACAGCTTCTCTAAGGGTGAACAGTGCAGAGACCCATGACAAATGGGCCTGAACCCAGGCCTGAACCCAGTCATCTGTTACCTCCAGCATCCTCTGCACAATGGGGTCTTTTATGTTCAGCCTCAGCATCCTCTCTAGTTGGAACCATTGGCTCTCCAAGGTATGTTGTATGTGATGGCCTCATTCTAGAGGACCTTTCCATAGGGCCAAACAAGTCCCTGATGTCAGCTTGACCAATGCTACAGCCATTTCTATTAGCCAGTGCATGGTAAACAGTGCACTGTTTTGGTTTTTTGTTTGTTTTTTTATTTTTTGTTAATTTGTTTTTTTTTTCCTTTTTCAGTTTATGTTATGGCTCTCAAATAAAATTCACCATGACCCAGCCAGAATTTACCATGCTTCTGTACCATCATCATTGGTAACAGCTATGATGGGCATGCCACAACCCGCCCCCATCATTTTTTCTGTGGTCACTCATTAGCCAAACAAGACTGCAGGCAGCCAGCAATTACTCAGCACCACTGCCATGGCCAAGGTGTGCTGGAGTTCTTGGGCATAGTTCATCAGCTTGGCTCTTAATGTATCCCACTCCCCGGGTGCCTTCCTCAGTGGACTGTCACCCCATACCTCACATTTAGAGTTCTGTGTTGAAGGAATCCTGAGCAAAACTAAGAAACAGCAGCTACATCACTATCAGAGTCTTGTGCACTGCCACAACGTCAAGGGTCTGTCCTTAACTAATATATATATGTGTATGTATGTATGTGTATATATATATATATCTGTCTTCCCCATTGACAACTTTCAAGATGTGCAGGGTAGACCTAGTAAATAAACATTTAGAGAAAGGAGCATCAATCACATCGTTCATCAATGAGAAAAGTATTGGACGACTGCCTTTAAACACCTCTGCAAATGGGTTGCTTGCAAACGTTTGTGTAGATGTAGAGTGGGCGTCAGGATGTGGCTGCTACACAGGATGACAGTGATGGTTGCCAACTCATTTTGCTTTTACAAGTGTTTCTGCAGGCATGTTGGATATTGGAACTCCTAAGGTACCCTAGGAGAAGCTTCTGAGACAATTGAAAGCCACAGACTGCAGCTCTGCTGAGGGGCTGGCCACCAGCTGGGACCCCAAGCTTCCTTTCTGAATGCCAGGAAAGTTAATGTAGAAATCTACAGAGGCAAAGTAGTGTCCCCAACTCCTGCTACCGTCCTTCTCAAGTGGTTTTCCTCTAGAGATGTCACTTACTGAATCTCACTAATTGTTTCTCAGAACAGTTGTTGGGTTTCACAGCGTCTCCAGTTTGATAACATTGTATCCTCGGATTTCAGTTGAGAGTAAGTGGGTAACTTCGGGAAAGTTGATGTTTGAGCCTCAGGTTTCCTACCATTAAGGTAATAGCTGTTTGCTGTAAAGATGCTTGTAGATAAAGCCATCTCAAAAATGAATAAATACATACAGAAATAGGCCATCCCTGCCCAAGGGGTAGTCGGTGGCAGCGCTGTCACAGAGCTGTATGTGCTGGAACAGGGCATTCGATCTGAATTTTAGGAAAGCAGCTTGCAAAAAAGGCCGGAGGACATAGCATGCACGAGTCCAGGTAAATGTCAAGAAGACAACAGTGCAAACCTGGAAAATGTGCTTCGTGTTAGCAAAGGGCCTGACAGTTGGATGAGATGTGGCTGTAGGGTGTGTGTCCAGTGAGAGCCTGGACCGTAAGAACCTGGTGCTGAACCTGTCGGCTCTGAATCTGCATTGAAACATGACCAGAATCTGCATTGAAACATGACCAGCTGTGTGTGGTGCCTCATGTGCTTTAAATCCCAGCCCTTGGAAGGCAGATCTGAGTGCCACACTAGCAGAGGCTGCCTCGTGAGTTTCAGTCCAGCCACAGGCTACATCGGTGATATCCTATCTCAAAAGCATAAATAAATAGGTACACACACACAAAAAAAAAATGCCCAGAGTTGGGATACAACTCAATGAATGATTGGGTGCTTGTCAAGGCTCTGGTCTAGGTTCATCTCAGTGCCAAAAATGTTAAAAATGAGGTGAGAGATAGATGTCATGAGGAGATCTGAATAAAATATTGTTTCTAGTCTAGATTATGGCTGCTGGTTTCTGTTTAGCTCCACATCAGAAAAGCGGGCAAACCAAGGGCCCATAGTCACACCTGAGGTCATGTTGGTCTTAGAGGGTCCAACTGATACCTGGGCCATGCAGACCTGAGTATCCATGCTGCCACACCGGGCCATGTTGTCATCCAGGCCACAGACCATCTCTGGGTCCGTGGCTCTACTGCAGCCAGGGTCTATGTTGATGTCCATGGCAACACTGCTCCTAGGATCTGGGCCTTCTCAGTGCTCAAGAGCTGTTCTGCTGCCAGGCCCATACTGACCTAAGTAATATGCATTGCCACTGGGGACCAGGGCATCACATGGGCCTGAGTTGTGGCTAGAGCCATGTCAAGGTTCATGGCCCTACGACAAACAGGATCTGCGCTGATGTCTGAGGCTACCATTGCCATCAACATGGGTGCAGATGTGCAGGATCTGGGTCCATACCTGGGACCATGTGGGGTGTAGGAGTTAAAGGGCCATGCTACTATTGTGTTCATGCCAAGCAGGGCCACATGGATAGAAAAATCTTGTCATGGAAGCTGTAGTGTGGCTCAGTGATTCACACAGTATTCCCTTTAGTCCATACATCTTTACTTGTAAGTGTTCATTGCAATGAGTCATTGGTCTGATTCAAGGCTTCTGCTACTGGGCCCTCAATAGGGTTCCCCTTGGATATCCTATCTCATTATTTTGGTTGGTTTGTTGGTTGGCTCTTTTGGTTTGACTTTTAAATTTTGTCTTATGGGAAGTTGCAGGGCAGAGGATGGAAG